ATCCCCTGCTGTCGCCTCCTGGTGACTTAGGGTCTCCTGAGACCTCCTGGGAATTCGACTCTGGAATTAGGATTCTCCACCTTTGGGAGATGGCGGAAGGTTGCAGGATTTCTCATCTGTGGGGCCTTTGTTGGTTTATTTCCTTGTTTAAGCCAGTGGTTTTCTTTTACCTGGTAAGGTCCATTCTTAAGCTTCCCGTGATAGGAAACTGAGACTCATTTGTCCCACCTCTGGGGTCTGCAAATCACAGAGAAGAAATTTATGTTAGTTCTGGACTAGAATGCAAAGGCTTAAAAGAATTTAGTCGAATTAGTATTAATGCCAAACATGGGCACCATAATTAGACAAGGCGTAGAACATTTACAAAGCACACTTTTACTTTGATTTTAAAAACCTCCCCTTCCTGGCCCCTTACCAAATAATCAGACTCAAGTTTTTGATAAAGGGCTCCGGCTCGGTTTATGTGAATCGGATGAGTTGTTTTATGGGGCGTCTGAAGTAGTGTCTGCCTCAGGACGTGTGTGTGTGTGTGTGTGTGTGTGTGTGTGTGTGTGTGTTTCAAAGCAAAGTACTTGTTTCTGTCTCAAAATTCGGTTAAGTAGTGGTTACAGAGGGGGCTAACTGCTAAGAAAACACGGAGGGGATGTCCCCCATTTCTTTTGTTGTGAAAAAATGTAATTTGTTCAATGTCGATTATGCAGTAGTTTCTTTCATGTAAAAGTTCCTAATGTAGTAAGTAGTCTCTGAAACCAGAAATATAGTTGACGTTCTGTTGGGTTACCAACTTTCATTTAGCTTAGTCGCTAATAGTGTACATGTGAAAATGGACAGAGGTTCACTTTGTGTTTATCAGATGGGATCTGCTCTGTGTTTTCCTGTTTCCCCTAAGGTAAAAGAAAAGGTGTGTTTTTCTGTTTTTGGTTTTTGTATTGGTGTGAGTTGTATTTGTGTTTAAGCAAAGGAGCACAGGATAGACCCAAACTCCATTTTATCAGAACTCTTGTGAATTGTGTGACATCAGGCATTGCCGGTGAGGCAGGACAGTCCGAGTAGTCTTCAGTTCAGGGAGTTAAAAACAGCAGAAGCAGGAACATTGATGTTATGAAGGAAATGTCACCTGCTCTGGTATAAACTAAACCAGTCCTTTTTTTTTTTTTTTTTTTTTTTTTTTTTTTTTTTTTTTTTTAAGAAGCCAGGTATGGTGACTCACACCTAAGATCCCAGCACTTGAGGGGTGGGAGACAGGAGGATTGCCATGAATTTGAGGCCAGTCTGGGCTGATTTGAGGGCACTACACATAAGGGTTCATCTTTTACAAAAAGTTCTTTTGAGAAAACGTCTCATTGTGTTATTGCAGGCTGGCATTGAAATTGGTATCTTCCTGGCTCAGCCTCCCAAGTGCTAGATTAAAATTGTTTACCACACCTTGCTTTTGTGCTTTTAAGATTACTTTTCTCACCATATTGCCTGGACTGGCCTCCAACTCCTGGGCTCAAGCTATCCTGCCTCAGCCTCCAGGCACTTGGGACTGTAGGAACACACCATCCAAAACAGCTATTCCAGTTCTCTTAAGTTACTTAGCAGATATCTAAGAGCTTCTTAGACATTAAGTATTTGAAACTCTCATGGAATGTGGGGTCACAATTTTTGCCCGAAAATGCCAGGTTATTGAGAAGTCAAAACAGTCAAATCAATTTTTTTTTTTAATTTTTAAAATGGAGATTTATTCAATGTGGCCACTTTGGGAAGAGCAGAGATCCAATTTACCCAACTTCAGCCCACCTCAGGGTCCTGAAAAGTTTCAAGTTTAAATAGAGGGCTAGAGATATATGCAAGTCTAAGCCGCCAGGTCAGGGTGTGGGTTCACCTACCATTGACCCATTGTTATCTGCGCTTTAGTCTCTCCAGCAAGGTGGTCCAACAACTTGTTAGTGTTGCAAGGTGCTGACAGTTACGTTGTAGAAAGAAAGCTACAGCCTTGAGACTGTTTCTTTCCCGGGACTGAAGTTAGCAAAGGCCTGCCATTTAGAAAGTAGATTAAACTCTACAAATGACTAGTCTGTTCTGTGGCAATAGTTCTTGTATCAAAACTCACAGCCCCAGCCCCCTTTCTCCTTCCCTTTTCCCCTTAGCAGTCACATCCGTGCTATGTGTCTGCACATTTAGACTAATGTTGAAAGGAAAGAGCATTGGACAAAATGCTCATGTGTACAGCCAGCACTCATGCCTGCTGGGAGCACCAGTCCCAGAGTGAAGTCTTCACAAACCTACTGACCCCATTGCACAGGCATCTGCATTGCCCTGGTTTGTCTTTGCTCTATTTTTTATAGCTGGAAAGTATTTTTTCATGTATATTCTTTCTTGGCTTTTCCACTAATGATGATATAAATTACCACTAAGGCTGAAGTAGAAAAATGTAGGAAAGACCAATTATTAGATAGCCTGATTTACGGATTTACTTAATGATTTACTTAAAGCACTGCTTGTACTGCCTATTGGCCAAACATGACTTCACTTGCTACCTGAAACAAAGTGACCTGAAGAAATAGTTGAAACAATGGGTAGTTCCCCTGAACAAACCTGCTAATTGCCGATACACTTCTGTAAAATCTTGCTTGCCCACCCCACCTTGTGGTTTTAGAGTATGAAAGGAGAATTCAAACTGGACCCTGGATTGAAGCCTTTCAGGAACTATCCTGGCTTCGGTCCGCCCGTGACATTTCCTCTCTTCCGCTCTCACTGGTGTAGAGTGCTTATTTCAGAAGGATTCCAGCAGCAAGGCCTAGGTGAGTGCGGGAGCCACTGGGTAGTGGCCCAGGAGTCAGTAGGGATTTGTGACGTGCATTCATTGGACAGCAGAGCTGGAATAACTTCTTTTGCAAGTTGAAGTTTGTTACCTGAAAGGTTTAAGTGGAGGCACTTTTATGTTTTTAATCTTTTATTTTGATTTATTTATAGATGTTTGTTTGAAACTGGGTCTCATACATACATAAACCAGGCTGGCTTGTACAGCTCAGCCTGGCCTTAAAGTCACAGTAATCCTCCTGTGTTGGCCTCCGCAAGTGTGGTGTGAGCCACCACATTTGACTTGAATTTTTCAAATTGTAGTTGAAGCTTTCTAAAATTGTAAGCTACGTAGATAATTTACCTACGTAGATAATTTACCTTAAACAAAACGTTGACATTGAAGTCTAAAATTCCTAGTATGGTGTACTTCATCCCTATAAAACCAAGTAAACCTCTCCCTGACACTCCAGCAAGTCCCAGGGGAATAGTCAAGAGTCTTTCTTCCAGTTTACCTTTCTTTTGTTATCTCCCTGTCAGCCACTCACCTGGATGATCCCTCACTTACTGGGAAGTCCCTGTTTCTCTGAAGTCCTGCTCACCCTCAGGCTGCTGTTTCCTTCTAGTCTGGCCTCTCTTTCCCCTCTCATGTCTCTGTCACCATTACCAGAAAACATCCCATCTTCAGAATGTCACCCTGCTCCTCAGTGCTGTCTCGCAGAATCACTGCTGTAAGTTGCTGGAGCTCATCAAGACTGTGGTCTTGCTCCTCACCACCATGCCCCCCCCCTGCATTAGTCACTTCCTGGCTGCTTCTCCCCCTCTCCAGCTATCCACAGCCCATTGTTGGAATCGTTTCCTGGCAAACACTCTTCCCTTCCCAGTACTTCAGGCCCTTCCTTGTATGCACCTGGCAGTCCCTCAAAGTCTGGTAGAACTCCACCACAGCCTTGTGTCTGCTCTTGCTTCGGCTGCTGTATTAGTGCTCTCCTTTCAAATCTTTCTGTGTTACAGTACAGACGTGCTGTAGAATTTGGCTTGTAGCGAAACCTGACTTTGGCTTCATAGTTAGTGTCTGCACTCCATCAAATAATAGTAATAATTGTTATCTGGAGGGTTTGGAATCTGACACTGACATTTGGAGCCTTTTATTCCCCTTTAGCTTTCTCTTCCAAGTCTTCTCTTTAGCCCCTGGTTTTAGGTGCTTTGTTTCCAGTCTTTTCCTCTGGTCTCCGTTCACTCTAGCCAGTGCCAGGGGAAAGCAAGATAGGCAGCATCAGAGCTTTCTGGTCATGGAGGATCAACCATGAATTCCCTCCTGATAAATGGGGCTTCCACTTGCAAGCATGCTGAGAAGAGGAGGCTGGGCAGTCTCAACTCCTGCTGGTAGAGACTGCTGCACAGGGCTGCCAGGCAAACCTTGAACTGTTCATGGCACTGTATGGTCACGGGCATATAGCTTGGACAGTGGTTCTCAACCTTCTAAT